CTGCCACTCAGTGCAAACAAAGGAAAGAAAGGTATTCCCACCATATCACAAAGCCATGGGCCATGAAAGACAAAAGCAGATGGTCAGATGGCATAGTGGTTAAACACATGGTTTCTAGAGTCAGAATGCCTAGGTTCAAATCCCTGCCACAAACTTGTATGAGGCCTTGACAAATAACTTACCTCTCTGGGCTGCAGTTTCCTCATCATTTATTTAAGGAAAAAAAAAAGGGTTATAAAAAGAATTTATTCCTTAAGATTGCGGTAGAATTAAATGAGATTGTGTAAATAGCAGAGCAGAACTCCTGGTATATAATAAGTGCTCAATAAATGCTGACTATCTTTATTATCTAATATAAAACTTCCAGAGCAATCCCAGCCCTCAGTCTTGGAAGGCACAAATCTCTCAGAGAAAGCCCTTCACCCTGCTCCTAAGACCAAACTCCTCCATGGCCCAGGCCTACGGGCCATCTTACCCAGTACCCACCATGGAGGGAGGACCCAACACCCACTACTGGCAGTGAGAAAATCCAGGAACAACTTGCATTAACAGCACAGTTCAACCCTTCACACTGCAGGAAGGCCCAAGATTTCTTCTTCTGTTCCATTCTCCCTGAATCTACCTTCCATTGATCCCTCTGTCATTCTTCCTAAGTATGGATTCCATAGGCCCACTCCATTACTTAGCTGTCATTTATTCAACAAATATTTATTGAAATACTACATGTCAAACATTGTCCAAAGTTATAATGGTGCCCACAATCTAGTGAAAGATACAGATAAGTAGAATTTATACAATTCATGTATAAGTAAATACATTCCAGAAACACACAGGAAAGCACCTAGAAAATGTCATTAAGATGGATCCTAAGGGGGATGCCTGGTGGCTCAGTCGGTTAAGCATCCAACTTCGGCTCAGGTCATGATCTCACAGTTCGTGGGTTTGAGCCCCGTGTTGGGCTCTGTGCTGACAGTTCAGAGCCTGGAGCCTGCTTTTGATTCTGTGTCTCCCTTTCTCTCTGTCCCTCCCCTGCTCATGCTCTCTCTCTCTCTCTTAAAAATAAATAAACATTAAAAAAATTTTTTTAAAGATGGATCCTAAGGAACTGGCTAGCTAGAGCATCTGACTGGGGTCAGGGAGATGAGGTTAGAGAAGTAAGCAAGAGCCTTGAGGCCTCAATAAACTGTGTGACTTTGCCGTAAGGGCAAGAGGAAGCCTTGAAGGTATTGTGCGGAGGTGTGACATAATTTGCTGCAATTAGGAGAATGGCACAAAAGAAGTAAAACTGGGGTCAGAAAGACTAGAGCACTTTTGTATTCCAAAAAGAATATGGTGACCTGAACTAGGGCAGTGGTAGCAGGGATGGAAAGAAGGCAATGACTTTGAGAAACCTCTGGCAAGAAGAATCAACAAGAGTTGGCAATTAATTGGTTGTGACTAGAGAAAAGGAATCAAGGATGAGTCTCGGGTTTCTGACAGAAATACCAGGTAGAGGTTCCAGTCACAACTTGAGAGCAAGTTGGAGGACTAGGTGTTGGGGGAAAGATGACACCTGAGCTTTAAGGGGACTGTGGGCACCTAGGTGGAGAAACAGAATCAGTAGCTGGATGTGAAAGCTTGGAGTTCAGATGGCAGATAAAGCAGATTGCTTTTCTCCAGCAGGATCTCTGCTGCCATGTCAAAGCTGGAACCTACAGAGGCATTCCCTGCCTGGGTAGGCAGAGAAGACAGAAGATTGGTGAAAGAACACTAAACCCCATGAGGAGCTTCAAGAACCATGAGGTAAGGCAAAGGAAAGGTAGGTCAGGTAGGGGAGGCAAGCTGACCAAGGGTCGAAGCCATAACAAGTGTCATTTCTTAAACAAGTTGAGAAGGAAAATTAAATCCATGCCCACTAAATTAAAACCCACCTCAGCAGGATCTGTGACTACAGCATCAAAGCCCACAGAGTATCAACTCATCTGGCTTTGACAAAAGATGGACACAAAATGATTCTGTCGGGACGGGAGCAGATTTCTTTTCTCCAGTGGGATTTCCGCTGCCACTTCAGTTCCCATTTCTCAGTGCCTCACTAATCAGGCCCTTTCCAACAAAAGTGATGTGAAGCTGGTTGGGGGTGGGTGTGGGGAGAGAGGGGAAGGGCAGCAATGAGAAGGAGCCATGGCTCCAGAAAACTAGAGTGGGAAATGAAAATATTTTCTGAATTCCTTAGACTTAGTTAAGTCTGAAAATGGATGTCAAAATAAGAAGTAAGCCACATACTAACAAGTTGCGGGTGTCAATTTAACACCACCCTTGTCAGGCTCATCAGCAGCCTTTACCAGGCGCATAAAAAGGTGATGGCTCTGACGAGAGCCATCTGACGAGAGGTTCCAGGAACACCGATAAGCTGTGCACTGTCACGCAGCACTACTTAGGTTTCCTCTCTGGCTGTTTTTATTTTGTTACACATTTAATTAAGAGCCTTCCCAGCAGTTATGCGGAGTCCTGCTTCTAAAAGGCAGCCACAAAGCTCTCCTCCCCCCAACTCCTGCCACCTGACATCTGCTTCCCTCTTGCATATTCTTTTTCAGAGCCTCACTGGCCTTTTCAATACAAACCCAAACCAGCTACCAAAGTCTCCGCAACCCATCTCTTTTAGAAGCAACATGGCCTTAGAGTTCAATTCTGTGTAGCTATGAATCTCTACCATTTTGGGCCTCAGTTGTAAATACTACTTTGTGTTTTGCCTCTATAAAAGGGAGATACCACCTTCTACCAGGGAAGATAGTTAGAAGGACTGAATGAGATATGGTACATGCTCATTAAAATTTGGTTTGTTTTCCTGTATGTTTGGATTCAATGACCCAATCCCTCTTCTTGATTACATCATTTTTTGTGAAGATTCAAAGCAGCCTCCTGAGACACCAAAATCTGTTCTGGGCCCACTGGGCTAAACTGGTGCTGCAGGCCAGAATGGGCCAAAGAAGACAACATCCTCTGAAATTCCCTCTTCTTCTTATGGAGAAACCAACTCCAAGCTTAGGAGGCCCGGCCCGATAGTCCCTGCATGCATGCACAGGGAAGTTTTCACATACACATGTATGCACGTGCCATTCACACTTAATGCAGAACATTCTGAAATGAAATGTGGGTGCCTGGGATATGAACACACCAAAGAGTGAAAACCACTGGAAGAGTGGGAGTCCTGGGAGGTTATCTGGAGAAACTAGGCCTCTGGACTAGGCTACATGAGCCCCAGATGCTAGGTATCAGCCTGAACCTTGCCACCCCAAATAGCTTCTCTTGTGCTGCTGAAATCCACCTAAATCCCTCTCTGCTTCAAGTGCTCAGAGCTTTCCAAGATGCCATAAATAAGAACAACAGCCTTCCTCCTCCTCGCCTTCTCCATGGAACCCTCCCCTGATTCATATCTGCTTCCAGATCCAGCCTCCATAATTTCCCTGACACACGAGTGTCATCTGGGAGCACAAAGATCCTCTGGAGCTCTGGGAGTCATGTGCACACACCTAGACGTATGTGGTCAATGTGCGTACATGACCTAAAGGATATGGAGATGAGGTGTGTGGGTGTATATGTGATCTGGGCTTGTTCCTCTTCCTGTCTCACTTAGGGAGTTGGTGTCCTGTAGCAGTCTTGACATCCACCTGAATGCATAATTTCACCTCAATACCTAGCATCCAAAAGGCATAAAGAAGGAGCTTGGTAAGAGGATAATACCTAATTTGGTAGGAAATGTTACTCCAGAGCCACTATTCCCCACCCCCCACCAATACCCCACCCTATGCACGAAGCTTGTGTGCACACGCGCGCACACACACACACACACACACACACACACACACACCCAGAATGCTTGCTATTGCCTTCAGTCACAAAGAACACAGAGGTATCGATTCTATCAATCCTCAGCAAACAGTGCCCCCACCACCTCCACCCCGCTTTAGCTCCCTGGGGGCTGTCTGAAGCCAGGTATCCATAAGGATAGACAAGAGGCAAAAGTGTCAACCCGGCAAAGGAACCAGTTCTGTCTTCTATAACCAGGGCAGGACCGAGAGACAAAGAAGAAAAAGCAGTGGGGACAAAGGAGGGACAAGGAGGCTGGGGACTTGGGGAGCTCCCTATAAGCAGCCCTCTCTCATTCCACCACTGGGCCCTCAGTTGAATCATCAGGGCTTTGTATTTCAGATAAAAGGGTAGGATGGCATAATGGCTAAGAGAAAGGACCCTGGAGTCAGGTTGCCTGGGTTTGAATCCTGGCTCTGTGTGTTCTTGGGTAAGTTACTTAACCACTCTGTGCCTTAATTTTCTTATCCATAAAACAGGAATAAAAGTACCAGCGTTTATTAATGAGTTACTATTTCTAAAGCACTAAGAGTAGTAAATGCTATATATTTGGTTTTAAAAAAAAAAAAAAGGATCTGGGGCACCTTGATGGCTCAGTCAGTTAAGCACCTAATTCTTGATTTCAGCTCAGGTCATGATCTCATGGTTGTGAGATTGAGCCCCACATTGGGCTCCATGCTGGGCCTAAGGCCTGCTTAAGATTCATTCTCTCTCTCTCTCTCTCTCTCTCTCTCTCTCTCTCTCTCTCTCAAAAAAAAAAAAGAAAGAAAGAAAAGAAAAAGAATCTTCTTTTAACCCCTTCCTCTCCTCTCCTTTCCTTCCTTCCTTCCTTCCTTCCTTCCTTCCTTCCTTCCTTCCTTCCAGGACAATAAGTAACCCCACAACTGGAAGGGCTGTCCTGAGCAGTGGGACCTGGCAAAGGCCAGAAGGCCCTGACAACAGCAGTCCCAGTAGGGTCCTTGACTTGTCTACTATTCCTTGTTCCAGAGGCAGAAGGCAGGGCTCCCAGCTCTCTTCCCACCTTGGCAGCCCCCAAGATCCAGACACTCCCTAACTCAGCTGCCCTGTAGGCTTGGATGTGTAAGCCTGTGAAAGGAAGACCTGGCCCCACAGATTCCAAGCCCTGACAGCAAAGTAGTCCTTCTTGTACTCACATGACTTTCAAGTCCCAGTCTCCACAGGTGACAAAAATTGACTTGACGTTTGGATCTAAGAGGCCTTCCTTCGCCATCCACTCATCGACCCTCTGAAAAGTACACAACAAGAACAGATGAGATTTCCCTCTTTTTTTTCTTCCTGAGTCTGTGAAGAGCCACAACAGTGAAACGCAGATAAGCTGCTTGTAATCAGAGCAGGAAAAATCTGTAATCTTATCCAGCCATGGCTCTGCTCTCAGCCTTGGCTCAGGGCTGTGGGGGCACAGGGAGGACAATCCCTGCAGGAAGATCCACAAGCCCGAGTCAGGGGAGGAGGGAGTCTCTCCACTGTCCCACTGCCTGTCCCAGACAGGATAAGGACATATCCCAGTAGGCTGGTCCTCAAAAGCAGAGCCTAGCACAGACACAGGTTGCCCTGGGCCATGAGAACAGGCTGGAAGGAGGCCTCAAGGAGGGACTCCAATCCACAGGTTTCTTCATTCACTCACTCATTTCATCCTCCTACCAAACATTTATTAACCACATTTATGAATTTGGTGATTCCCCCCAATGAAAGTAAAGTTAATCTTCACCGTGAGTCTAGCAAAAAAAGCTCCCTTGCTGGGCTGGAACCCCTTCTTGATCTCTGGAATTGCATTGCCTGCTTTAGTTACTAAAAGCTCATAAACTGGCCCCAGGCTTCATGTTTCTCCTCTCCTGGTTGAGGATTCAAATTCAAATTCGGTGGACTCTATTGAAGGCTGAGCTCAATTCCTAGACAGAGATAAAAACTGTTCCTAAACATGCTATAAGTATTTCTTTCCCTTCATCCCTTTGATCAGTTTTATTATTTGCACTCACATTGCAAGTACAAACATTAAAATCAGTATATAATGAGAGAATTATCATAAAGAATTCATGAAATATTGCCTATTTTTCAGAAGATCCCAGGCATGGGGTGAGAGTATAGCAGATCACCATTGCTCCACTCAGGCAGAAGGATTAGTTTTTATTTATTTTTGGGACAGAGAGAGACAGAGCATGAACAGGGGAGGGGCAGAGAGAGAGGGAGACACAGAATCGGAAACAGGCTCCAGGCTCTGAGCCATCCGCCCAGAGCCCGACGCGGGGCTCGAACTCACGGACCACGAGATCGTGACCTGGCTGAAGTCGGACGCTTAACCGACTGCGCCACCCAGGCGCCCCAGGATTAGTTTTTAAAGGCAAAGAAGCTAGAAACATAGGATTGAAAGTCAGACACATCTGGGTTCTAACCCTGACTCTTCCATATCCTGGCTGTGTCACTGATGGGAAGTCATTTAAAAGTCATTTAATCTCTCTGAACTTCAGTTTCCTTCATCTATAAAACGAGGCAGATGACTAACCTTACAGGGTTGTTTTGAGAATTAAATGTAATAAGGTATTAAGTGCCTACCACAAAATAGACAGTAGGCTGAGAAGGCAAGAAAGGCAGATCATCATAATACAATATAATAGATGCAACCATGGAGAAGTGAACAGAATGCTATAGGACCAAGAGGACGAAGTGGCTAGCTCTATCTTTTACAGGGTAAAGAGTCAGAAAGGAAGGCTTCACAAAGAAGACAACTGAACTTGGGATTCTGTGGTTGGGTTTGCTTGACAGGATGGAACACAGGAAAAGATGCTACAGGCAGAGGCAAAGGCACACGCACAATCATTTTGTATTTGAGAAGCAATTATGTGCTTAATGTCTGCCCTCCCCACCAGACTATAAGCACCATGAAGGCAGGGACTCTTATTTGTCTTATTCACAGTCTTAATCCCTAATCTACTGCAGTACCTTCTCACAAGATACCTACTGATTTACTGAAATATGAGTAGGGAATAGTGTGACCAATGTCTACAGTGTGTAGAAAGAAGGGACAGGAAATGAGGCTGGGGGCTAGGTTAAACCAGACTGTGAAGACTCCAGCAAGTAATGGAGAGTCCATGGAAATCTTGAAGTAAGATGACTTCTAGCAGGTATAGGCTGGCTCCCCAGACATCTCAGAGATCCTGGAGGCCTGGTCCACACTGGCACAGTCTTTGAGTAGGGCCAAGGATCCTATGTGGTTCCATGGCTAGAGCAGTCCCACTCCCAGGAGGTCAGAGCTGCTCCCTGAGCCAGACTGTGCTGACCCTCTTCACAGTCTGTACACCAGAGAATCCCTCTCGGGCCAAGAGTCTCTGCAGCAAGCTACATTCTGGACCTTCCACTGCTGAATGGCTTGTCTCCCCAGCCACTATGGCCCACTTGCACAGATGAACATGCACACTTGTATACCCTTTCCCAAGACTTTACAGAAGAGGTAAGGCAAACCTGGAGCTCCCTATGTCAGCTAACCTTGCTCCAGCTCACTGGCCTTAAATCCCCAAGGGAAGTGCCCCATCTTCCAGGGGGGCTCTCCAATGCCCCAACTCCTGCACAGTGCTCTTAGATAAGAGCAAGACAGGACTGTCAGGAGCCGATGCTCAGCAAGACCAAGCCTTCCCCATGAGAAGCACTTAATACTCACAGGGGGTCCTTCAGAAGCTTAGGACGTAGACCATTCACTCATGTGATAGATATTTAGTGAAAACATTCCACTGTGAGCCTGTCCAGGGAAGAGATACTACATTTGGAATAAAGTCTGCCCTTTTCCTTCCCCCTATGCTTGAATGGATAAAGAGCTAGAGGAACCACTGAGAAAACCCCCAATCAGCTGGGCTAGCCCTCCCAGCTACAGAAGGTCTAGCTTGAGTCCTACTTGGACCAAATTAGTCAGGCAAACATCTAGCTGGCCACCTGCTCAGGGACTTGGTTAGGACAAGAAGTTAGCTTTTTAGCTGTATGACCAACTCAGGGCTAATGGGACAAAGCAGAGCCTATTCTAGTCTCCTTGCCAGAGACTCCCTATTCAGGCTGATGCCCGGAATCTTCCCTCTTTACCCACACAGTGTGCTGAAGTAGCTTCCTGGGTGAGACTCAGAATCATCTGAGCACCCTGCTCCAGGCTGGCCTGGGGTTAGCAGGAGGAAGCCTCCTGAAGACCACAGGTCCCTGGCAACCAGCACCACTGAAGAAAAAAAATCCTGTAATTTCAACAGCCCTAGTTTGGTGCTGGCCTACAGCAGGCATCTTCCTTTTAGGATCCTGGCCAGAGACATTCCAAGAAAAAAAGCTGCCTGCTCTCTGGCCTCCGTCACATGCTATGCCCTGGCTGGGGCATAGGAAAGGATGGGTCCCCTTTTTCTCCTTGAATCCAGTCTTACAGGGTGCAATCCATGCTAAGGGGCCCCCTCAATCATAGGAGTTAATCTCTCCTGAAAAAAAGAGGGTCAGTGGGGCTGGGGGACACCTCAGAGCTCATCTTATCTTCTCCCAATGTATTGCAGGTACCCTAATGCTGACCCTACCCAGAGCTTGACCAGTCACAGAGCCTAGGCTTATACATTCCCAGGAACAGAGAGCACACCTGCCACTAGGTGAGCCTAAATCTGACTCCATCCTGAGGAGCCCCAGGAAATTCAGTCTGCATTTCTCTTTCCCATGGGGCAGAATCTCTTGGCTAAATAAAGAGATCTTCCTCCCTCTCCCTGCCACCATCCAACTTCCTCTAGGCTGCCTACCTCCAATGCAGATGTGCCCTGCTATCCCCCCAACACTCTGCTTTCTCTTGTGCTTTGATAGGGGCTAAGCTTTGGGTTTATTGGTCTTAAAGATAAATAAAGCACCAAATGAGATCCACAGGCTTTTTCTCTTCTCCCCTCCCTCTAGAGAGGAGGGAGCGGGAGGGGGACCTTCTCCCTTGGTGAAAACCCCCAGGCCAGAAGGGGTGGGAGACTAGCTGAGGCCAAGCATAGCCCTTCTTTATTCCCTCAGGCTGGAGCACAAGAAGCAGCATCTTAACCTTTTCCAGCTCCCCGAGGAGAACATCCTAGAAGTGTGGTCTCTGCCAAGGGTTCTAAAGCCTTTAATTTGATTTCCCTCACATAGGCAATTGTTGTAATTATTCTGATTAGGAATCATTACCCAGTGCAGCCTCTGCACCCCTGACAGTCACAACGCATCCAGCGGCAAGCTGCAGTGGGGCAGGCGGGCCCAGCCGCACCTCCTGGAGGAGCTGACAGCAAACAAAAGCCATCGATGGGGAGTTCTGGGTGAGTTAATGAAGTGCTCACATGCCACAGGAAGCCCACACTAAAGCTAAACAAAAACACCTCCAGTCCCCAGGGCTAGTCCTGCAGTGCCACAGCTCAGCGCCCCCCCCACTCCCTGACCCGCCCAGCACAGGCTGCCAATGCCGCCCAGCAGAGGGCCAGGGACCAGGAGGGGGTGGGGAGCCCTGTGAGGATCTCAGGGCAGCACTCGGACATCTTGCCAGTAACCCTGATGGGAACAGCTGGAGATGACAGATCAATGGTTCAATACTCTCAACAGCATGTCACTGATGTGACAGCAAATGTTATTCTAATCAAGCCATAATCATAGTCAAATTACACGGCTACATTCTCAGGAGGGGAGGGAGAGAAAGGCAGCAGGAAAGGGTCAGAGGTCAGGAATTAAAGGTCATTCAACCTACCTCCAGTACTTGCTGCAGGCTTGGCTGACCATCCACCATAGCTTGAATAATCCCGGTGAGCTGAAAGGAAAGAGAAATAGCCAATAGGTGGAACCGGAGGGCACAGGGTTTCAAAACTGGACTGGATCCTTTTCTTTCTGTTTTTCTCCTTCTACTGTAAAAGATTCTGGTGTGCACTGCTTTAGGCTCAGAATCTGACAGAAGCCTTGGGAATAAAGTCCCAGGATACAAGGTGAATTCCCCCTGCCCTGAAAGGGGGATACACACCTACATACTGACCACAGGGTGTGTTTCATACCTATTTCAGCTTTTACTTTGAAAAAAACCTGATTTTATGTATCTTTTGTATTCAATAGGCTCAATAACTCCCTACAAATTACAATCTAAAGTCAATTCACCTCCAAGCTTCACAGAAGTTCCCAGAGAACTTGGAGAATACTTGCACAGGACAGCCATACTTGGGTTCTGATGTCCAGCATTTCCCCCTGTAACATCAGTGAAGAGCCAGGGGAGCCCCACAGGCATCTACCCTTCACCCTAAATACCTGGGCCCTCAACACCAACTAGGCAAGTAAGAAATAGACACCTTTAACTTAATGCAGATGAAAAGGCCTAATGTATGAATCTGCTCTAGAGAATTTCTGACTCACGGGCCTATGCTACACCCAGGTCAGGCCTAGCTTCAAACAAGCTTGTTGCTTTGCATTGTTTGGAAGTGAAAATATCCCTCGGACACAGACTAGGACAGACTGCCTCGGGGATCTGAGGCAGGAGGCCCCTATCCATAGACTTGGATCCAGCAGGAAATCACCATGCCCAATGTGCTCCTGGCTACTTCCACAGAGAGCAGCATCTCAGGGTTGCTTGGGAACTTCTTTTTTTTTTTTTTTTTTTTTTGTAAGTGTTGGGGGGGGGATTAAACTCCAATTAAACTATAATTACATTTAATGAATATCAAATACCCAAATCACAGGAACCGCTGGCTCTAAAAGGGAAGGTTATTTTCTCGTAGCGACTTACATGGAATGGTAATACACACCTTTTAGGGAAGAAATTTTCATTTTAAGAACGCTGAGTTCCTCTAGGTGGGTTTCTGTAGTTCATCAAGTCATTATTAGGTGGTATTTTAAGGAAGTGTAAGGACACAGCCACTCTATTTTATATTCCAGAAACTGTTTTTATATTAATCTGTATTTTAATTGGGTAACAGCTGCTGCCTACAGACTTCCCATGGTCTAAAAGGAAAATAAATTAGAAAGATTAACTACACTGTTGTTTCGCAAGGCTTTAACCCACAGCATGCCCACCCTGCTGGCACCTCCACACCCTTTCCTTGCTTGGGTGACCAAAGAACTGCCCAGCAGAGGGAGGGCCTGAGCCAAAGAGAAGAAGAGTTGGTCTGCTGAGGGGTGGGAGTGGAGGGTTAGGGTGAGGAAGAGCTCTGGGTCAGCAGCTTTCATCTTAGAGTGCCAAGACTCCTCCATTTATTTAGTCAACAGCTATTCATGGACAGCCTACAATGTGCCAGACTCCATTCTAAGAACTAGGAATCCAGCCATGAGGAAAAACATGAAAACCCTGCCCTCATGGAATCTGTGTTCTTCTTGGCAGCCCCTCCTCTTCCCAGTCCAGCCAGCACCCAGAGCCCCACATTCAGCAGGCAGTTGCCCTGTGTTTTGCCTCAGGCACACAGGGGCCAGAGCCCAGAGTAGGCTTGTTGCCAACTCCAGGTCCAACATCCAGATGACTGACTAGCACCCATGCATCCACTGCTCTTCTTTCTGGTCCAGCTTCTCTCCTGCTTGGTTCTTCCAGAGCCAAGTCACGTCCTCAAGCTTGGAGCTGGGACTTAGGGTCAGGACTATCCTGGAAAACCTACAGCCACTCTTACTTCTTGGAAAGCTCTGGGGTCTGTGTGCCAGTCTCATGTCTAGTCTGAGTCTTCTGGGACAAGGTTAGGTCTACGACTCCTACCAAGGGTCACTCAGATGAGGTGAATACTGAAGGGCTTCCAGAAGGACTCGCAGAAGAAACCAATGGGTACCCTTGCCAAGAGCCCTCCCTCCTTGGAAAATGGGACTTAAGTCAGCATCTATGTACTCTACAAGCACCTGCTCTGGGCCCAGGAAAATCACTAATGCAGAGAGAGAAAATCACTATACTATAAAGGAAAACCAGGGCACTGCTCTCCAGGATCTCCTTCTATAGGCTAGGCCCGCCTCTTCAACCCTGGTGGTAGTGGGTAGGGCTCCAGGGTCCTGGGGCTTTCTCACACTCCTATCCAGTGGTCAGTAGTCCTAGAATCATCAGCCTGAGGGGGGCCTAGTGAGCTCAGCTCCCTCTCTACGTGTTTCTAGAGCACTTGTGGTTCAGCAAGACATGGCTTACAGCTGAATTCCTAAAGGGCATGAACTCACCCCCAGAGACACAGAGGCTTGAGCTATTGGTTCAGCTAGAGGCATCCTTCCAGGAGGAGGCCTCAATCCTCTGTATTAATGCTTCCAAGGATGGACTACATCTTATTAGCTCTACCAAGGCACTAGATGAAGAGACTGTAGAATTAGGAACATTAGTCCATGCACCTGACAACCTATAAGACATCTCTAAGACCTACATGAGAAGCCATGAGGGAAAGAGCCAATTTAATAAAAATATTGGAAAGTCCTACCTTAGGCATAACCTAAATCCTTCCTGCTGCAGTTTAAACCCAATCTCACTTGGGTTAATATATATTTGTAAAAAGCTTTCACATCCTCACAATGAAAGGTACTAGAGCAAAGCCAAGTATTATTAAGCTGAGAACCAGGGCTCACAGGCTAAACAGAGCTCAGAGACCTTAACCACTTAAAGCTGGAGAGGTGAGAGGAAGAATTAATGTGTGCTCTGTGGCTCCTTTCACCGAGGGATTACAGATTAACTCCCGCTTCTCCAGACTCGGAAACCACAAGGCGAGGGCTTTTGACCCTGACTGATAACATGACTGGTTGCTGAGATCCCCTACCCACACAAGGGCTTTGTCCAGGAACAAGCTGGCTTCATCATAAACACTGGCAACTACAGGAAGCAGCCCAGGCCACTCAGTGCCAATAGAATGTCAGCATCCAGCCTTTCTCCTTTCACAGTTTATCTCCAACACAATCGTATTCTGACACCAAGACAGTTTGTTGATTACATAAGCACTTGTCTCTGGTGTGCAATCTGATAATCAGACCCACTCTTTCTCCTCAGACAAAGAGACCAATAAATCTCAGCCTTTATAAGTACAGGTGCAAGACAAAGCCCTTTACTGGCATTTAGCAAAATGGGTATTTTTTCTAGGTTTTTTTTTTTTTTTTCCAAGACAATGACAACAACAACAAAAAAGACTACACATGGTCAGGGACTGTGCAGCAGCCCAGCTGCTAGAGGCAGAGATCTGATGAGCTGGAGCAGATTTTAGAGGTGGTAGGGAAAGGGCTTGGGAAGGAATGAAACATGTCTCATCCTGTCTCTATCAGAAATAAGTCTCCAGGCAGACTATCAACGGGTACTAAGAAAGAATCTCAAGCAGGCTAATAACATGTCCATTACACAGAGCAGTAAGAGTGTCTATATGTGGGCTACAGACCCACTCAAGGCAGAATGCCTCTTCCTGCTGAGCCTGTCTCTCCCCCCACACAAGCATGTGCTCATATGTGTACTCACGTGTCACAGGCATGCATGCATGCACACACACATGCACACAGACCAGGGTTCTTAAGAACTTCTTGTGCACAAGAGAATATCCTACTAGAGGAACTGCTGAGGCACAATCCACAGGTTTTGAGTTGTTCCTCACACTTACTAAGGAAAAAATTCCCTCTGATTATGATGATCTCTATCTCTACCCCAAAGGCAGCTACTGCCATGCTGGATTAGGCCCCACAACGATGGCTCCCATCCTTTGTCCATGCCTCTCTCTACATTACAACTCCATCTGGTATAGAGACAGAGCAACATTTGGATGATCTGAGGTTTTCCAAAGAAGACTTCACTTACTCAAAAGAGAGTCAGCAGTACAGTTACTTGGGGTCAGGGGTGGCAGGGAGAAAGGTGTGGCTGAATAGCTCTTTAATAATATTCATTCATTTAAGGAACATGTGTCAAGTGTTTACTTGGCACCAGGCCCTAATGATGGGACGGAGATGGATCAGATCTGGTTCTCGCCCTCAAGGAACTCACAATCTAGTGGGGAGACAGATAAGTATATACAGTTTAATGCATCTGATCAGCGCTTTGTGTAGTGGGATCAGCCAGGGGCTCAGGGGAGGCTCCCCAGAGAAGGTGACCCTGAGCAAAGTCCTAGAGGACAAGAAGGGGGGTGGGTGGAGAGTGGGAGCAGCATACAGGCAGGAGGAGGATCATGTGCAGAGGCACACTGTGAGGGAAGTGAGGGGGTGTGAAGCAGGGAGATGTGAGGCTGGACAAAAAGGCAGGGACCAGGTCAGGCAGAATTGGGAGCTCTGGAGGCCTGAGGTGAAATGGCACACTTGTTGCCACAGCACAGCCATATTTTCACTTTCAGATAAGGCTTCAGAACAACGGTCCCAACCCACCGTGCTTCCTGCCCTCCAAATTACGTATTTGTGTCTTGGGGTGAAACTTTCTACAAAAAAGAAAAATATCTCCCATCACAATCTCACAATCCCTCCTCCCATACCTCCCCAAAGAAGCAGTAGCAGTCCTGATTCCAAAAGATCCCTTTTCCCATTACTCTCAAGCATCCACTCCTGCCCAGAGATGAGCTTCCGCAGTGCTGTTCCATCCCTAAACACCCAGCAACCTTTCTCAAATTTGGGCCTGCCCCACTGCACCAGGCAGCCTAGCTGCAGCTGAAGCCCCCAAGGGGCAATCTGCACACAGAGAGGAGGAAGAGAAGGACAAGAGGACACTGCACTTTCAGGCTAGTGGAGGTTCAGGTAACTGGCTTGTTTTAGGAAAGTCTTCCCTTCCCATATGGAATGGGATTTTTGCCATCATTAAAATTTGATTTTTTCCGAAAGGGGCAAAAAGAACAGATTAGCGCCCCCTGGTGGTACAGGTAATTCCCAGGGGCAAGGGTTGCAGGGGCGGGTATGTAGATCCCAGAGGGAGTAAGAATCTCAACATCATTACTGGAAACAACAAAAGGCATGAGAGACTAGACACCTTGGCAGATGGATACCTGCACCAAAAGGTCCACCTGGGTTGGGTGGCAAACACTGGCATCAAGCCCAGGAGCTACCCTCAGACTTTGTATCTGGGCTGAGTCAGCCTCAGAGCCCACACGGCCTTCCCCGCAGTGGCAGGCAGGCCCTTTCCCAACATTCTCCACACCAAGACGATTGTTTTGGGATCACTTAAGAACTCCTTTCCTCATGTTTCACTCATACTTAGCAAGTAGATCTCTAAAAGAAGGCACAAAGTCTCGAATATACCCCAGCCCCCAAATTCTTAAAAAGATTCCAGGAACACTCATGTTTTCCCGTTACCTTCTGCTGCCATACATACTTGGCCCATGATTCCACCACAGCCTGTGGCTACCACAGAGTTTATAACACAACACATCACAGAGGAAAGCAGCCACAGAAGGCTTCTCCATACAGGCCGGAGAATGAGAATCCTTCAGGGGTACCTCCTCTCTGCTCCTAGCAGCTCTTCTGAGCTGCATCAAGCATCAAGATCTCAGTTAGTCCCAGTTTCACAATCTGTAAAATGGGGCAAATACTAACCTGCTGGCAAGGTGGTGGAGTATAACCCCAGCACAGGGTAAGGATAAGGATAAGAATATTTCAGCCTTGTCCAGGCTGTCCTCATACCCCACTTGGACTGCCCTTCTCTTTCCTTGATGATACAGTTTTGCTTCCCACTAAACCAACACTTCACACAGGACCTCTTTGCTCAAGGACAGAAAAGCATCACCAGAAAGCTAAGACAGCCTGAATACAACCTCTCCCTCCAAGAAGCTGAAATCTTCACATCTTGTCAAGCAGCCCCAACGGAAATGGAACTGAAAAGAAGCTGAATCCCAAGGGGCGCCTGCGTGGCTCAGTCAGTTAAGCACCCACTTTGGCTCAGGACGTGATCTCATAGTTCGTGAGTTTGAGCCCCGTGTTGTGCTCTGTGCTAACAGCTCAGAGCCTGGAGCCTGCTTTGGATACTGTGTCTCCCTCTCTCTCTGCCCCTCTTTGCTTGCTCTCTCTCTCTCTCTCTCAAAAATAAAAGAAACACTAAAATAATTTAAAAATTAAAAAAAAAAAAAGTTGAATCCCAAAAGCACCACCCTAGAGTGGCATACCACTCCAAATCTCAACACCAGGAGGAGTAGGGATGATAAGGAAAGGAAAATATTAGGGAAGCTGGGATAGATTGTGCCCTCCTTGGGTCCCCAATGACCACAGTTGTGCAAGTGGAGTGGCAGACTTTATAAAAACTGCTGAATCCAATATGCACCTGCCTTAGCCACTGATAAAACTTAAGCTGTCCCTAAACGGCATGTACAGAGCACCAGTGACCCATAAGCTCCCGCCCCAGCAGCCCCTGCTGCCCAGCTCCAGGGCCCTTACCTCTGTACAGAAGGGAGTAAGCTGTGGATGGACTACGGGCTGGACATACATGTGAAAGGTAGACTCAATCTCCATGGTTCGACCATTTAGCTTCAGGATGGGGAACTCAATAATTTCCTGGAATGGCAAAGATACAGAAAAAAAAAGAATACGTTTTTTTAACCAACCATTTTATAACTCAGAGTCAAGAATGAGGGAATGTTTTGGACTCATTAGCTCCTGCCAGGCCAGACCCAAGACTGAGTGTAATGGTGCCAGCTCAGTTCTTATTCTAACCTTCCCACTGTTAACACCCTCACAGGTGGCCAGGACTAGACACATGCCCCATCCCTACTGTCTCTGGAAAGGGGAAAGAAGACAGTAGTATAAGCTGCCCCAGTTTCCCCAAATGGTTCTCTGCCAGAGGCCTGTTCACTGGAGCCCATGAAAGTAGCCCCACTCCTCCCCCTTGCCCAGGACTCTGCCCTGGATGGGCCTGGATCTCCAGCCACAAGACCAATCACAGCCCTCTACATTTAAATTTAAGCAGAACCGATGAGTTTCTTCATTCATTAAAAAAAAAAAAAAAAAAGAAAAGAAAAGATAAATAATAAATAAAGCCAAAGGGGATACTAAAGAGAAGAAGAAAACTGAGTAAGAGTAATAGGAGCTAGTGCCTCCCACCTTTCTTTCAGGCAGTACACCCTCCCCCAGCCTGCTCCCCCCAATCACTTAGCCAGCCCTTCCCAGTCCACTGGAACGTAATGGAAGAGAAGGAGGAGGAGTGACAATTTGTTTGGTGTCTCTAAGATTAATTTGTCTCCGTTATTTAATAGAGATGCACAGCACCAAGGTCCTGGTGTGCAAACAGGCTTGCAGAACGCTGGCTGTGCAGCACGCCTCATACATCGCTCCTGGGAAGGGAGGAATGCACCAGAGGGGGGAGAGGGCAGGAGAGCACACACGCACCAGAGAGAAGAGGGAAAGCGAGGAGAGAGAATAAAAAAAATTATTGCTTTTTAATATTCAAAAACAGTTTGCAAAATTTAATCAAAGCAGAGGAAAAGCTAACATTTTTACCACTTTGACATTTTTATTAGCGCTTTCATAAATTTTTAAAACATGAATGGAATTAGTTTACAACACAAAAAAACTGCCCTGAAAACATCTGGAAGAGACAAATAGGAAATAATAAAAAAAATAAATAAAAAGCAAAATCCTCCAAGTAAAATTAGCATGTGGAAAAGACCTCCACTGCAGAGAGAGAAGGGGAGCTTTGCCCCCTCCGTGGCCCCAGCAGTCAGCTCCAGCAGCATCCCTACCCCAGGTCCCCAGTTTTGGAAGGGACCTTTCTCATATCACTAAAATCAAGGCAAACTGGTTCTCTCCGGGGACAGCCTGGAGGAGCAGCACAGAAGCTGTGGACACCTGACTGCATGCAGGACAAGGACGAGATGGAAGATGGAAGAAATGGCCGATCTCCTTGATATCCCAGGGCAGCCAGGTAGCCTCTTCCTCAAACACACTTAATACCACCACGCTTGTTTTTAAAGCATCTATTTTTATCCAACACATAAAAGCAGGACTGGAGACCAAATCAAGGCAGTCAGATTTCATAACAGAGAAATTCAAAGGTTCTGCTTGCCTGGTCTCCCCGCACTGATCCCCAAAGATGGGGAAGCTAACAGGAGCCCCTGGAGATAGGAAGGGCAGCAAGGCTGAGGCAGAGGGGGCACAGCAAGGAGGCCCTAGCTGCTGCTCAGATTAGGTGGTATCTTTCCTCCCAACTCGAAGAGAGGGGGGTACTCATCCCAATTCCCTGGGCCTCTCTCATTCCTCACAAAGCACTACTAAGCAGAGATGGTAGAGGAGAATTTCGTGCTAAAAAATAAAACTGAGGCACACATACAAGCAAAATACACATTGGTCCCCCTAAAAAATCAGAAATCAAAGATTTCCAAGCGCTAACTCTGAGGTGGGGCTCATCTGACACCCGAATTTCTAATCTATCCTCCCACTGTGTGGGAGCAGCACTTCCCCAACAGGGGCTCCACAGCCTGGTGAGTTTGGCTGCCCTGGTGTCTAAAGAAACAAATACAGCCAGCTCCTCACTAACAATGTTAGCTGGGCCCACAATGAAATTTAACCTGTGACACAACTGTACTTTTCATTTAAACTTTCATTTGGAGAGAAGCAGTGTTTGGAGACCTGCAGTTTGTCCTGCTAATAAAGACAAGTGTTGGGACCTTTAAGGATGCCATTCATCTCTGGCTTTTATTAAATTCAATTTTCTTAAGCCCATGATACATTATGAAATTAGGAGTTGACATTCCTCTGGAAACAAAAATATCTATCAAACATAAATAGAAAAAAAACCCTCTATTACCAAGAATTTATGGCTTAAAGTTGATCTCTTTCCACTTTTTTACAAGCACATGGTTTGTTTCAGATATCTGAAATGTTATTATAGATCTAGAATTTCATTAGTATTTATTATAAAATAGTAAGCGCTTCAGCTCCTGCTTTGACTAGCACCAAGTCAGCATCCCCAGTAGATTCTCTGAAAACTTAGCCTTTGGGTTTCCCCACTGCACCTCGTCTTCAAACTGTCCTGCTGCTGGCTTCCTTGCCCCTAGGGAAATGGAGCCAACCTGTGCTCACACTCAGGATCACCCTCCCAGATAGAGGAACAAGCCAGTCTAGGCTCCAAGCAAAAAGAAGAGTAGATCCCTGAAATGCCTGGGGGCCAGGGACTTGGTGGATTGGACCTATCATAAATACACCTGCCCAGTGTTACTAGCCCATCAGCCAGGCCTTCTTCCTAAGACCAAGAAGAGGGACTTTCAAGAGCCAATCTCAGAACATGACTTTGCACAGGCCCTTTCTCAGCACCATCAGCTATTGTAACAATGACCTTGCACACAGGCATATTCATTTAAGCCAATGAGGATGCAAAGAGAAGCTGAGAGATAGAAGACCCCATGAGGAGTCAGCAGAAAGGCTCTCACTTAGGTACTTCTTACCTCCCAAGATTGCCCAACCAAGCCCAGAACCTCAAAATACTGGCACCAACAGTCCATTTAGGAGAGCGGAACTCTAATCTCTACTAAGTTGACATGACTCTGCAGCCAGTGCACCTGGGGCATGTCAAACACTTCAACAGTTTTTAGCTCATAATGATCAGAAAGGGAATGCTAAAGTTATAGGTTTAGTAACTTCCAACCCAGGAGCTTATGAAGATGTGCCTAAGTACTAGCTTCTGGAGGCAATTGCTCTGATAAAGACACTGTTATTCCTGCCTCTCCTTTTCCCTCCATCTCCTCATTACCCTGGGAAAAAGTTTTTAGGAGTAGATGAGTGTCTGTTTGTGTGGAGGTAGCATCAGGAAGGAAAGAACCAGTATGTATTTACCAGTCCTTTATTCTTCCCCTAAGAATAGTTCCACGATTCCTTACAACTGTATGTCATTTACATTCAATTAAACTACCTGAGTAGCACCTACTGTGTGCAGGGCACTGTACAGGTGTTGCAGTGGGATTCAGAGAGATGTATCTCTGCTTTGGAGAGGTGCACAGACTAGTGAGCAGAAAAGACACTGAACAAATAATGAAGAATGCACTATGCTAAGTATCTTAGCGGAGGGACATACTGAGCATTAGGACTTTCAATTTATAGTATACTTGCAAATACATTTTCTTTATCTTACCCTTATTAATCCTGGAAGATAGGTCATAGCAGCAGCAGCAGCAGCAGCTCATAAACCAACACTATTAAGCACCTACTATTTACCAGGCAGGGGCTGGGTGTGGACATAGAGACAAATACAAGAAGATGTGGCTCCTCTCTCTGAGGTGCTTGGAGTCTGGGCAAGGGGTAGAGAGGAGCTGGCTCCAACACCCTCGGGACACTTGGGAAATGGAATCATTTCATTCCTTCCATTTGTTGTTTACTACATGGCAGACACTCTGCTAAATGCTTAACAGGAACGACCTCATTGAAACCTCTTAACAACAATTGTTATGATCCCTGTTTTACAGATAAACTAAGGCCCAAAAAAGAAGTGGTCTCTTGCTCAAGGCTTCACACTTTGTGAGGGGCAGAGCTGGGACTCCAAATGGGGAAATAAGACTTAGAACAGGACTCACAGCTTTCAAAATCTGAAGGGTCAAGAGCTGATTCTTCCAGTCTGAAAGGTTGTCTTTAGTGAGCTTGGTCTGTCTCCTAGGAAGAGAGGCTGCTCTCAAGTTACAAGAGACCGTGGACTATGCGGGCAGAGAGTCCTAGAGGACCGCTGCTGCATAGGCTCCACTGCAACTGCAGTGATGCAGACGGTGCTATGCTCGGGGCTCGGGGAGTGGGGGAGCCAGGAGCCCTAGGTTTGCATCGCCAGCACAAGCTCTGTTCTCGCATGCAAACCTCGCTCTCTCCACTTTTGGTAAGTAACATGTGAAAAGGGAGGATAAACAGCAAGATAAAAGCCAAGCACACGGCTCTAACAGAGATCTCTGCTTTTACAAAGCTCTCCACGGGACCAGGGAGGTGATGTGATCTACTGAAGGTGACAAACATGGTAGGTGGTGGAGTGAGGATTCAAATCCAGACAGAGAACACCCCAAAGTATTTCCTGTCTCTCATCTTTAAGTGGCCTCCCATCCTCCCTTAACTGCTACAAACCACCAATGTCTCAGTTTTCTGTCTGTCCAGACCAAGGGTTTCCTGGAACACAGAACTTTCAGAGCTAAAACTGGAATAGCTAGTCACCCTACACTGTCCACAAGCTACCTGCACCACTAGGTTGTCCAAAGGTAGAGCATGATAGATTAAAAAAGCTGGTCTGCTGATGGTGGATGGGAACTAGCCACAACTTGACAACTCAAGACAGAAGCCTCAGAATTTGGATTTTTCAAAGTATCCATGGTTTCAAACCTACTGTATCCGCTGTCTCCCTCAATAAAATGACAACAGCAAACCTTTCTTTGTTTTTTTAAGGGGAGGGAAGACACATAAAAAGGAAGCACCAAGTAAATATTTGTCTCAGGACAAAACTGCAATAGTGGTTCAAATGAAATTTCACACCTACAATCAGTAGATTACAAGAAATAAATGTGTAGGTTGCTTTCAGGGTATTCAAATTCCCT